TCCCTGGCCGGCCCCGGGAAAGTGTGGGGGGCCCTGGGGCCCAGGCCTGTGCCCCGTCCTGGGGGTGCTCCGGCCCTAAGCGCCCTCTCTGGGCGGCGGGGTGTGGGGCTGCTGCCCTCCCCACTGGGGACACTGCAGTCGGGGCCCAGCCAAGCCTGCCCCCTGCAGCCCGGCTCCCACCTGCCCCTTCCCTCCTTAGAGAAGCTCCCCTGGCCAGTCAGCTCCAGCCCAGGCTTCCCCTGCTTCCCACCAGGGGGCGGGGTCCCTCCACCCCTCCCTCCCCTACCTCCCCTCATCCCTCCTCCGAGCACCAGGCTGGGTGTCCCCCTGTGCACTGCAGGTCCACCCCTGGGCTGTGCAGGCTGCAGCCCACCCCCATGCGCCCTGCCGGCCAAATTCCCCCCTCTGTCCCCGCCTCCTAGGATCCGCACACAGTAGGGAGTGAATAAATGACTCCCTTCCCACTGTCACAGCCCGCAGAGCTTTCTCCAGGCCAAGAGTTCTGGCTGCCCGACGACGAGGCGGGGTGTCCCTGTGGGGGCCTGCGTGGTGTGGGCTTGGGTCTGGGAGAGGAGGGGCACCCAGGCCTCCCTCCCTGCCCCCGGGGCCTCCCTGGTCCATGCTGGATCCCGTGGCTCAGGAGCTGCTGAACACACAGCTGGGCCGGGGGAAGTGACAGCTGGTCCTGCAGTGGGAGCAGCGGGCAGGCCTGGGGACCCTTCTCTGGCCCCCCACAGCCCCTCAGGTGCGGGACAACCCCGCTGGCCGCCTCTGTGGCTGGTCAAGGCTCCGGCTAGTTTGCTTCCCAACAGGCAGAGAAGGAGTCACAGGCTCTGGGGTTGGGGCACAGCCGAATTTCTTCCTGCTGCTCGCCCTCCCCAAGTCCCCAGGCCCCAGACCAGGCAGTCCCACGCGTGGCCACAGACAAGGGGTGGTTTGGCATTCCTGGGACCCAGAAGGGGCCATGAGCCCAGGCTCTGGGCCCTGCCCCGCAGGCCGGCCTCCGAGCCCCCCAGCACCCCGCAGGCCCAGCCCCGGCTGCCCCAGGGCCTCCTGAGTGAGTGAGCCCTGACCTGGAGCCCCCAACCCGGTGCACTTGGTAACAGTCCAACTGAGGCAGAGGCTTTACGTCACTTCAGGGGTGGGCGAAGTCTCGGGAAGGCCACGAGGCAAGGAACAGGGCCTCCGTGCAGGGGCGTGCCCGGGCCCGCGCTGTGGCACTGACGGGCCAGCCTGGGACCCGGGACGTGAGGAGTCCAGGGCAAGTGGCCCGGGGCCGCGGGCCTTAGAGACAGGCAGCTGACGGTGGCTGACGACACTTCCCTGTGGTGGCCGATGTCGGGTGGGCCCTGTAGGCTACACGGCCGGAATATGGGGGCAGGAGACCAGGACAGACGAAACTCACGGGGTCCCTGTGTGCAGGTCACATGTGTGTGCGCTGACCTTCATGTGCGCATCCGTGTGCACTCACGTGTGCATGCCTGCATGTGGGGGGTCGAGATCTGTGCATTGTATGCCTCAGTCTATACCCACGGCCACGTGTACGTGCACACGTGCCTGCTTGCGTGCGCCACCAGCTACAGAGGGTGGGGCTGGGGGGCAGTGGAGAGTGGTGGCTGCAGGCTGCAGATGGAAGTGGGGTGGTGGGGTGCCCCCAACACAGAGCAGCTCTGGGGCCCCCGTAGGGCCAGCAGCTGGGAGCTGGATTCCTGGGACCCTTAACCAGCTGATGACAAGGGAGCAACTGTGTGGTGTGTGTGCATGTTGGGGTGTGGGGACCCCTGCAGGCGCTGAGGATGAAGCCCAAGTGGGTGGTACTTGTGGGAATTGGGGGCCTGGAATGACACCCCCAGAGGTGCTGGGACGGCATGGGTAGGGTGGGGTCTGGGGTGGTGCTGGGAGCGGTCTGGGCTCCCCCTGGCTAGGAGCAGGGCGGCCACGGCCCAGCGTTGGGGCGTCCCCGAGACCGCTGAGCACAGCTGCTGTGGGTAAGGGCATGGAGAGCGGCCTCCATCCAGGGACAGCTGCGGTGGGGGCGGCCATGCAGGGGGCACAGGGGTGGGGTGTGTCGGGCGCTGAGTGTACGCGTGAGTCTGTGCTGGTGATGAGGGTGCCCAGGGCCAGCATACGTGTGAGGCCCCGTCCTCCCCCGGGTCCCCGGGCTCCGTGTGCACACACAGCCCTTCCCGCGGCTCCTCCGGGCTGTCCCCGCCGCCCGGCCCCTGCCCCGGAGCAGGGGTCCTGGGCCACCGTGCCGCCAGCCCTGCCACATGCAAACCCGCACCCAAGTCCTCCCTTCCCCCAGTGCTCAGGAGCCCAGGCAGCTGGGGACTGAGTGACTTCGCTGACTTCACCGCCTCCGTCTGGAGCTCTGGGCCTGGGCTGTCACCTGGTTTCCTGCGGGGCCTGGTACAGAGGACGTACTCCCAGACGGAATGAATGCAGGCGGGGTACCGGGCGGGGGGGGGGGGGGGGGGGGCGGGGAGGCCCCAAGGCCAAGGTGCACCGACTCCATCAGAAGACGGCTCCTGGGACCCCCTCTGGGGACAGAGGATGACATGTGCGCTGAGCGGCTGAGGCGACGGTCACCCCTCAGCCGGGGTGGGGACCCTGGGGCCGGGCGTGCGGAGGCCTGTCCTGCAGCCCGGCCACTCTGGTCGCCCGCCCGGGGCTGCCGGCCTCTGGTCCAGGTGGCTCCAGGTTGCCACCCAAGCTGCCACAGCGCCGCACCCCTGGTCCCCACGGCTTCCCGGCACTCACGACACTTGGGCACGCCCCCGCCGCAGGGATGGCCGGGCAGTAGGTCCTCACGGTCCCTGCGGCGGGGCCCGATGGTGCGCACTGGGGAGGCCCTGAGGAGCCCCGAGCTGCCTCCCCGGCCTCCGGGCCTGCCGGCTTCCAGGCTCATCCTCCTCCCCCACCGTGGGCGTAGCACAGAGGAAGGGGGCGAGTGGGGAGGGAGGGGCGGGAGAGCAGAGGCAGGCCGGGGACGCCAAGCCCAGCGCCCCAGGAACCCTCGAGGCAGCTGCCAGCCGGGGGCTCTGCTTGTGGGGCCCGCCCAGTGGGGGCTGGAGTGTGGGGCCTGGGAGGCCCGAGCTGGAGCCCGAGGCGGGCGAGCCCGCCCCCACTGCCTCCTTGGAGCCACCTGGGTCCTCGACAGCTCCTCCAGCCTCTCTGTGGGTGGCGGGGGCACTCCAGGCAGCTCTTCCTGTGGCAAGTGTCCCTGTCACAAAGCAGCCAGCGGGTCCCACCCATAAGCGAAAGGGCACCCCGCCCTGGTGACCCTCCGGCGCCCGCTGTGCCGCAGCCTCCCCCAGCCCATCCGCACCCCCACTTTCTACTGCTCTCGCACCAGCACTTCCGACCTCTCCGCGTCCGCCTCTCCCTCCCCTGCTGAGGGCTCGGGACCCCAGCCCCCGGGTTGGGGGATTTTGCTCAAAGCCCCACGGAGACCGGAGACCGACACCCACTGAGCTCTTGCTACAAGTCTCATCCTGAAGCCAAAGGGGGGGCGGCGGCCCTCACCTTCTCCCTGGTCCCCCAGGCTGTGCGGAGCAGCTCAGGCCACTCAGCCGCAGCCGTCCCAACCCCGAGGGGGAGCAGCACCGAGAGCTCATCCCCTAAACAGGCAAACCTCGGACCTTCACGCCCGGCCCCGCCGCGGACAGCCCAGCTCGTCCTGGAACTGCCCCGGACCCTCCGGGAGTGAGGCAGGTCGTGCGGCGCCCTGCTGTCCCCGCAGCCCGCGCCCTGGCCCTTTAGAAGACACAGCCAGGCCACCTGTCCCTCAGGACTGGGCACGAGCACCTGCCAGCAGCTCGCGATGGCCTTGCATGTGGAGTCACCGCCATCCTGTGTCGGGGAGCGGGGGCCACCGCCTTGGGCCTTCCCCCCAGGCAGCCCCAGAGCGCGGGCAGGGCACAGGCCTGCAGATGCCACTGGCTGACCGCAGCCTCCACTATGACGCTGCTCAGTGTCCCCGGGGGGAGGGGGCCCAGGCAGGTCACTCAGAGCTCAGGCAGGGCCCCCGTCACCCACCTCCTTTTCTTTCCATTCAGGGAGAAACAGGGCAGAAACGAAAGCCACAGAAAAACCAACCACGCTCCAGGGACTTCTGGATCTAAACGGATTTATTTTGTGTTTTTTTTTTCCTCCTTTCCTCGGCATCTTAGCAAATGAAAAAATTATCCGACGAAACCCAACAACACAAGAAAAACTTCCAACGACTCCGCACCTCCCGCTCAGAGCGCTGGGGGGGAGCAGGCCCGGCAGGAGCGCAGGACCCGCTGGAGGCCAGGGGCCTGGCTGTCTTGCAGGGATCCCGTGGCCAGTGGCCAAGCTCCCTTCTCCCCACTGCCTTGTCCAAAAAAGCCCCTGGGCTTAAAAAAAAAAAAAAAAAGGTCCCACCAACAAAACAAAACACAATTTAAATTAAAATAAAAACACTTTCTTCACTCGCCCCCATGCCAGGAGGTTCAAGCTGAAACCTCCTTTTAAAAAAAATTATTTTTTGTTTGCTAGAAATACTGTGCATTACTTCCCCCCCCCCTTCCACTTCTCTTGAAGATTAAAATAAGATATATTTCCCCGGGAGTCATAAATACGATCTGGTGCATAGAGAAATAGCAGCAGGGGAGTCCGGGCGGGCCAGCCCCCCCGCGGCGCGGCGCCCCCCCCTCCCCCCGTTAGCACAGTAGGGCAGCAGGGCTGGACGGTTCCGTCTGGAGGGGACGCCGGCGGGGCGGGGGGCAGGCGGGCGGGAGGGCGGGCAGGCAGGGACCGGGCCCCTCCGGGCGGGCAGGCGAGCGAGCGACACATGCTGGGACACGCGGACGTCCGAGGGCTTCCTCCGGGGTTCCGTGTCCTAATCACCGAGCAAAATAAATAGAAATGCTTCGAAAATAAGATCGCTTTAAAAAGGAGTCGTACAAACGGGCGAGGGAGGTGAGGCGGCCGGCGGGCAGGCGGGCACCCGAGGGGGTTGGCCCCGGCCCCGTCCGACGGCCCAGCCGGGGGCGCGGGGCGCGGGGCGCGGGGCGCGGGGCGCGGAGTCCGGCCGGGGCCGCGCGCTCAGAGGAAGAAGTCGGGGGCGCCCTTGGCCCCGCCGGGCCCGGCCTGCGGCTGCGGCGGCGAGGACTCCCGCGGGAAGCCGGCCCCGCCCCGGCCCGCCAGCTTCTCGTATTTCTCCTTGTACAGGTCCCGCTCCTTGGCCAGGCGCCCCACCTCCAGCTTCAGCTGCTCCACCTGGCTCTGGAGCTGGCACTTCTCGCTCTCCAGGATGTGCCGCTGCTGCACGCGCTTGAAGCGGCACGACTGCGCGTAGCCGCGGTTCTTGAGCGTGCGGCGCTTCTGCTTCAGCCGGATGACCTCCTCCTTGCTGAAGCCGCGGAGCTGCCGGTTCAGCTCGCGCACCGACATGGACACCAGCTGGTCGTCGGAGAAGCGCTCCTCCAGGCGCACGTGCAGGCCCGCGCCGCCGTGGGCCGCGGCCGCGTGGTGGTGGTGGTGGTGGTGCGCGCCGTGGTGGTGGTGGTGCGCCGCGTGGTGCGCGCCGTGCGGGGGGCCGGCGCCCAGCTCGTCCGCGCCGCCGCCGCCCGCGAAGCCCGGGCCCCGGAAGGCTTCGTAGGCCGCGGCGGCCGCCGGGTGGTGCGCGCCGTGGTGCCCCGCGTGCTGGCCGCTGCCGAGGAGCGCGTCCACCGCGTCCTCGGGCGTCAGGTGGAGCGCCTCGGGGTTCAGGTGCTGCGGGTAGCCGCCCATCCAGTACAGATCCTCCAGCGCCGGCTTCCCCGCGGCGCCCCCGCCGGCGCCCGGGCCCCCGCCCGGCGGCCCCGCCGCGGCCCCGGCCTGCGCGCCGCCGCCCCCGCCGCCCCCGCCGCCCCCCGCGCCCGCGCCGCCGGTGCCCGGGCTGGGCGCGCAGAAGCTGGGCGAGGAGGGCACGGAGGAGCAGGGCGTGCTGAGCGGCGTCGACGACAGCGAGCCGGGCGGCAGGCGGTGGCAGAAGCGCTCGGCCTCGGGCGGCTCCTTCTTCACCTCGAACTTCATCAGGTCGAAGTCGTTGACGTACTCGATGGCCAGCGGGCTGCTCGGCAGCTCGGCGCCCATCGCCAACTCCGCGGCCATCGCCCGGGGCGCCGGCTGCGCCCGCCGGGGGGGGGGGAGCCGCGGCCTCTCCCCCCCCTTTGCTCCGCTCCGCACGGCCGGCGGGGCCCGGTGGGGGCGGCGCCCGGACGCGCGGGGAAAAGTTTCGCGCGGACAACTTGGGGCGGCCGCCGCTAGGGGGGCCCGGCCGCACCCGGGGGGGGACGCAGCGGGCCGCGCTCCCCGTCCCCGCGTCGGCCGGCGGGCGGGCGACGGCGCGGCCGCAGCCTCGGGCTGCTCGGGCTCCCCGCGCTCCGCCCGCGTCCGAGCGGCCCCGCCTCCACGGCCGGGCGCCGCGCCGCGCTCTCCCCTTTATAGAGCCGGACGCTCGGGCCCGCCTCCCTGGGAGGGGCGCGGGCCCCCAGGCCAATCGGAGCCCCAGACCCGCCGCCCTCATTTGCCTATCCCCATGGCAACGCGGAGCCCAGCTGTCAATCTCCTGCGGGAACAGCTGTGGGAAGGGGTGCGGACGCGCCGGCCGCGGGGGGGGGGGGCGGGGCCCTCTGGTGGCCGCCGCGGGGCACTGCAGGCGCGGAGGGCTCGGGCCCGAGGGGCGCGGAGGGCGCGCCGCGCGGGGGGCGGGCCTGCGGCCTCGGGGCCCCGCGTCCGCGACCGGGAGCGGACGGCGCCTGGTGGCTCGGCCTCCCCGCCGCCCCGCGGGCCGTGACCCCGCAGCCCCGGGAGCGTGGCGAGCCGGGACCTTCCGGCCTGCGGACGCCGGGGCCCGGCCGGGAGCGGCGAGGGGAGTGCCGCCGCTTATTTTTAGCCCCGCGGTCCGGGCGGCGCAGGAATGTAGTCAACAAAGTTGCTGGCACCTCGGCGGCTCGGCGGCTCCACCGCTGGGCGCAGGTGCGGCGGGGCGGGGCGCGGCGAGCCCGGGGGGCGGGGCGGGGGCGTCGCCGGGAGGGGCCCGCGGGGCTTCAGCGTGGCCGAGCCTGGTGGCCCCCGGGTTTTCCATGCTGCCGCTGTAGGGCTGTTACAATCAACAAATTCGATCTTAAGTGTAACCAGTTGTGCATAGAGAGAAAACTCTGGAAGGAACTGGGCAGGAAGTCACTAGGGCCGCTTGTTTTCATGTTGTTCCAGGCATAGATGCTTACTATTTTACGGTAAGAAAAATTCATACAAATGGGAGGGAAACCCCACTTCCTAAGACGTCATGGGGTGGCCGAGCCCGCTGTGCCTGGAGGGCACCACTCACCCCTTCCTCCTCGCCCCTACATACCCCAGGTGCGGGCAGGGCCCTACACTGGCCCCTCCTGCCCCCCCCATGGCTCAGCGCCAGAAGCAAGGCCCCCCTGGGCGCAGGCTGGGTGGGTCGTGGGTCTGGCACTTCACGAGTTCAGAGGGAGGCGCACCCTCAGCCACCACCTAGTCAGGCCAAGTGGGGACAGGTGTCCTGCCTCCCAGGCCGCTGGGCCTGCTCGCCGTCACACAGACTCATCCACTGGGCACGTAGCATTTCTTCATTTCTGCAGCCATTCATTCATGCACTGCCATGGGGAAGTGGCGGCCTGGGGCCCAGCGGGCCACTGTGTCCCCACTGGCTCCGGCGCTGGCCTTGGGGTCAGACTCGCCAGCAGGCTTGCCCTCAGCTCTTGGCTGCTCTGGGGCCTCAGGAGGAGGAGCCCCCCAAGGTGCAGCAGCCCCCAGGAGGCCCCCAGCTTCCCGCCTGTGGCTGCCCTCCCTGGGGGCTCTCTCCTGGCCAGTCACGGAGGGGCCGGTGGGAAAGGGGCCTGGGGTCCCGCCCGCAGGCTCCGGGGGGCTCACCCCTGTGGCGTGCTGCGGTGCGGACAGGGTGGGCTTCTCCAGCCCAGGGAAGGTGCTGGACTTCCTGCCCTGGACGCCGGCGCCAAGCACCTCCCTGCGGCGGCCAAGGGACAGCATGCCGTGCGCCCTGAGCCTCGGTGGCCCCGGAGCAGCCACGGCGGCCAGCCCCAGAGGACACTGCTCCTTCCTGTCCCCGCAGCCTTGTGGGGCCTCAGGCCCCCCCAACAGTGCTTCAGCCAGGGGAGTTCCTCAGGCTGCGCCCTGTCTCCCCACTAAACGCACCCCACATCTTGCCTGGGACCTGGCCCGCGCCCGGTCGGCTCATGGGAGGGAGCGGGAGGCCCCAGGGCTTCTGAGCTTCCCGGGCTCCATGGGGGGCCGCTCGCCCAGGCCTCAAGGGCTCCCTGCAGCCCAGAGGGCTGGGCAGGGGTGAGGCCCGGCTGGTGGTGGCGGTGGGCTCCTGGCAGCGGGGGCTGCTCCCCAGGGTGAGGGGCCCGCAGAGCGGGGGGGCCCTGCAGGGTGAGCGGAGCCGTGGCAGGTCTGCGTGCACCCAGCACCCAGGGGCCGGTGGGGACGCCCCGTGGTGACACCACAGTAAGTGACGCAGCGCTACGGAGCGGTGCCCACATCTCGTGACTTCACCCACGTTGACTAGCTCAGTGCCCGGGGTCCGGGGTCCTGCTGGGCTTGGCGCCCCTGGGAGTCTCGGGGGTGGGCTCCCCAGTGCAGGACGCCTGCCCGCTCAGGCTGCCGCCTGGGGTCTGAGGAGCCGGGCCCACTGCCTGGGGGCTGGGGGTCCCCGGAGCTGCCCCACTGGGCCCCGTGTCGAGGCCTGCGTCTGTGGGGGGCAAGGTCAGCTAGGTCATGGGCCTCCCGGGGCGGGGGGGGGGACCACCAGGCGGGAGCAGAGCAGGGGAGAGGCCAGAACGGCGGGAGGGCACCCACCTGCGTCCCAGCCGCCCTGCTGCTCAGCCCCCCAGAGGGCCCCTCTCCACCCCCTCCCCACTTAGGGGCGCCTTTGCCCTTTTTTTTTTTTTAAAGATTTTATTTATTTATTCATGAGAGACGCAGAGACACAGGCAGAGGGAGAAGCAGGCTCCATGCAGGGAGCCCGACGTGGGACTCGATCCGGGGACTCCAGGATTATGCCCTGGGCCGAAGGCAGGCCCTAAACCGCTGCGCCACTCAGGGATCCCCGCCTTCGCCCTTGAAACTGTGCTCCAGGCACTGCCCTGGGAAAGGGCTTCCGCTCCCCAATCAGCTCCCCCTGCCCCCGGCAAGGCCAGGCCCCGCCCACCCCCCCCACTGCTCCCACTTCAGGCTCCTCACTTCACCCAGAGACTACCGCCCCCCAGCCTTGAGCTTAGACGCAACCGGGCTGCGAGCTCACCTCCCATCTATCCGGGGCCCAGTGCATCGCCTCCAGCTCGGAGGGTCAGGGTCGGAGCTGGTCCACCCGCCTGCCTGGCGCCCTCAGGGGGCTCCGCATCCGTGTGAGGCCAGTCTCGGGGAGTCCCGTGACCCGGCACGCCAGGGCCACCCCAGGAGGGCCTGGGCCTCGGACGGAGAAGTCGAGAAGTCGGGGTGGCCCTTCCAAGGCCTGGAGGAGCTCATGCTGCGCTCTCGGCAAAGGCCAGAGGCTCTGCCCGGAATCCACGTCACCCCAGCGGCACCCTGGTCAGTCGGGGTGGGCCCAGGTGTGGCAAAGGTGACCAGTACTTCACCCCCGAGGGTCTCTGCTGGCCTGCTCCTGGGCTCGAGAAGCCAGAGTGACCAGTGGGTGCGCTCGGCCCAGGGGGCCGCCCCCTCCCTGCGCAGGGGCAGACCCTGACCATGCCGACCCCCAGGCCTGCGAGGTCCCCCGATGGGTTACAGAGAGTGTGGGCGAGCTGGGCCTGGGCCCACAACCACTGGCCGGCCACCTCCCGCTTCCTGGAGTGCCAGCCCTCCCCGAGGCCTCCCCGCTGGCCCACGGCAGGTGGGGGGGCTTCCTGCACCGGGCGGGCAGGCTGGGGGGCTGTCCAGCTGCCCCCGGACTGTGGGGAGCCCCCCAGTGCATCCAGCAGCCTGCTCCATAGCCCGGGGTGCGTGTGTTCACCCTGAAGGGCAGGGCAGGGAGGCTGCGCGGGGGGAGGACCTGGGGGGCCACAGCTCACAGCAGGCTGCCCAGCAGGGGTGTCTCTCCGTCTGTCCATCTGTCCAGGCGGACGTCTTGTTCTTGGCTGGCCATCTGCGGCCACGGACGCTGGCCAGGCTCCTTGCGATGAACTCGTCACCTCTGGGGCTGGCACAGCGATGCCACCCCTCCTGGACCTGGACTGGCGGGGAGCAGGATCCCCCTCACTCCCCATCCTCATCGTGGCCTCCAGGGGTGTGGCTGGGGCCGAGGAGGGATCCGCTTTGGCCAAGAGGCGAGAGGACGTGGTGCGGGCAGTGGCTGGGGCTGCACCCCCTGGCCCGCAAGGGACAGGTGGAGGAGGGGCGGTAGGGCGGTGGACCCAACTCCAGGCAGCAGCAGGCCCACGCTCGGGCGTGCAGTGGCACAGAACACCCGGAATGGCCGTGTGCCCCCCCAGGCCTTTGCCCTGGCCTCCCAGGATCTGTCCGGGGCCCCTGAGCAGTGCAGATGCTCCGGCTTGGGGGGTGTGCGCCTAGACAAGCTGGCCCCACCTGCCCTCCATCCCCGTCCTTGGCCCAGCCACTGTCCCGAGACACCCAGAGGAGGGGCTGGGTCAGGAACCTTAGCCTGGGGGACCTGGCCCAGTCCGTTGCATCCGACACGTCCCCTGGACCACCTCCTGGGCCTCTCACCAAAGTCACGTGGGCTTGGCCACGGGGGAACAGGCTGTGCCCAATCCTCTGAGCACTTCAGGCAGCAGGGAGGATGGCCGACGATCCTGCCCGGGGCCCTTGTGGCCGCCAAGGGCCTGTGGCCAGCTCTTCCTCCTCCACGAGGCACTCCTCAAAACCCAGGCCTCCAGGTCCCCTCGTTGGAGGGGCGCCTCTGGGGTCTGTGGGCAAGTGTGTCCGTCCGGGCGGGTGCGCAGCAGGGCCGGGTGGCGGCGCGACAGCAGTCAGAAGAGCCAGGCAGACACAGGACAGAACCTTTATTGCTGAACATAAAACACCCACCAGGGAGCCTGGCAGGAGTCCTGGGAAAGGTGGGGTACGTTGCACAGCTGCTGCTGCACCCACAGTGGGCGCAGGCCTGGCGGGAGGCTGGGGTGTGTGGAGGGTGTGGGGCTGAGGACCCGGGGTGGGCGGTGGGCGAGGGGCTGGCTGGGCAGAGCAGGCCCACGGAGACGGCGAGCCCCGGGCCCGCACTGGTCACGGAAGGCTGAGAGCCAGGCAGGCAGAGCAACGACCCCGGGGCCCCAGCGGGGGGACTCGGTGGCAGGCGGCCCCTCCTCTGGGGCAGTGGCAGGCGGAGCCTCCTTGTCTCCAGGAACGAGGGGCTGAGGTAGGCACAGGCTGGC